CCCCAAGCCTGATTCTCATCTCAGTTAATAGCGATGTGGTCCTTCTGGGAGCTCAGGACAAAAATCTCAGACTCATACTCAACTCCTCTTGTTCTTCCCATCCAACCCACCAAAAAAATTTAATACCAAAATATATTCAGACTTCAGCTCCTTTTCACTATCTCTATGTTACTTTTACCCTGTTACCAGTCAACACCACCTCTCATTGGGATAACTGAAACAGCTTCCTAAATGGTTTCCCGTTTCTGCCCCTGCCCACCCCTTTCACCCGGTCTCAACCCACCAGCCAGAGTAATCCTGTTACAGCAGGGCATTCATCCTTTAAAATCCTTCAACAACATCCCACCTCCCTCAGTATAAAATCCCAAATCTTGCCAGGCAGGGTGGCTCACGCCTGTAATCCCAACACTTTGGGAGGCTGAGGCAGGTGGATCACCAGGTCAGGAGTTCGAGACCAGCCTGGCCAACATGGCAAAACCCCGTTTCTCTTAAAACTACAAAAATTAGCCGGTCATGGTGGCAGACACCTGTAATCTCAGCTGCTTGGGAGGCTCAAGCAGGAGAATCACTTGAACCCAGGAGGCGGAAGTTGCAGTGAGCTGAGATTAGGCCACCTCACTCCAGCCTGAGCGACAAGAGCAAAACTCTGTCTCAAAAAAAAAGAGAAAACAAAGGAAATCCCAAGTCTTTACCGTGGCCTTCAAGGTGACTTGGCACCTTCCCACGGTGTTCCTCTTTCCTCTCTAACTGCTGTCTCCACTGCTCACTCCACTCCAGCCACTGCACCCTCCTTGTTTTCTCTGAATACATCAGACGCTTGTCGCTTCCCCTAGCTGCATGCTCTTCTCTCCAGCATCACGTCGTCCGTTCCTTCACTTCCTTCCAATCCATCCTCACGTCACCTTCTCCACAAGGTCATCCCCTGCCGTCCAACAGAGGTGTGCGATCCCTCCCTTCTCCCCTCTATCCCCCCTTTATCCTTCTCAACAGTATTCCTAGTTGCCCCCTAGTTGCCCACTCTAAGAGTGCAGGGACTTCGATTAATTTTGTTCACTTCCGTGTCCTCAATGGTTAAAACAATCCCTGGCACACAGAAGGTACTAAATAAATATTACTTAAAATAATAAATGAGGGAAAAAAATGAATCTAGTAGGCTTCCCAGATTCATGAAAAACATACTTCTAAATGCCTGTATCTTTAACAATAATGGGAGGAACTCATCAAAGTTCTTACAGACAGACGAAATTGAAAAATCAGCAAATTGGAGCCACAAAGAAGAAATCACAGTAAATTTAGGAACACAAACAAGTGCTAAAAGAAACTTGTAGCAAATAAATGAGTAGTCACGGTACTCACAATACAACTAAACACGCAGGTCATCACCTCCTTGACTTCATACGAAGGTCTACGCTAAATAAATGCTTTTGATTTACTTATGAGATGCTTAGCATGCATTGTATTATGTTTAGAAGGCACCGCTGAATATTTAGGTTTTCTTTCTGCATAAGTTTATTGTGAACGCCATGGGAGATTGTTCTAGGTTCAGTAACTCAAACTGATCCAAGTCAACCAGCAGTTTTAAATAACCAAGACTAAAATTTGACATCTATAGTAAAGTTTTTACTATATTTGTATTTGGTTATTACTTCACACATTAACATGTAGACATTTGTTAATGAATGTGTTATGTTAAACTGTGATTACAAAGTATTATATCAGTAGTTGCTATATTAATGATATATAATCTGCTAATTAAAACGAATGCTTTCAACAAACAGAAACTTTGGACACATATTTTTAAAAAATCTTTTAGGATCAGGCGCAATGGCTCATACCTATCCCAAAAGGTACTGTGATTCCAGCACTTTGAGAGGCCGAGGCAGGTAGATCATGAGGTCAGGAGATCAAGACCATTCTGGCCAACATGTTGAAACCCTGTCTCTACTAAAAATAGAAAAATTAGCTGGGCGTGGTGGTGCACGCCTGCAGTCCCAGCTACTCAGGAGGGTGAGGCAGGAGAATCTCTGTGAGACGGAGGTTGCAGTGAGCCAAGATCACGCCACTGCACTCCATCCTGGCAAGAGAGAGACTCCATCTAAAAAAAAAAAAAAAAATCTTTTTCTATTTTAATATTGATTAATTCCATATTTTCATTATTAACATTATCATATCTAGGCAAATATCTGCTAGTAAATTACAAATGAGAAGTAATACCTTATCATTCCTATCTGAAACTTCCTAAAGGTAAAATGAATATAATCTTCCTTGCTAAATAATCACTCAGAAGGCAATGCATATTGCTATATTACAGACCTAGAAAATGAAAATCCATGACTTGAGACTTCATTTCAAAATGAAACGCTATTCTTCTAAGTGCTATTTATATTAACTATAAGTTTTTTATTTAACTGAAGACCGTTCTATAAAATTAGTATTAGAAAATGTGCTATAGTTATTGATTTCCTCATCAAGAAACCACTGAGCCATCACTTTATATTTTAGCTGAAAAGTGAATAAACACAAGTTTTTAAACCGTATCTAAATCATTGATAGCATTGAAAATAGAGAATTTCAGTAAGCCAATTACAGAAAGTCACTGTTATCTCAACCTACAGATATTTCTCTAAGAAAATGGAAGAGCCACATACTCTAAGGTGAAGCCATGACCTTCAGAAATATACTTATGCAGGCTGGGCGCAGTGGCTCATGCCTGTAATCCCGGCACTTTGGGAGGCCGAGGCAGAACGATCACCTGAGGTCAGGAGTTCAAGACCAGCCTGACCAGTATGGTGAAACCGTGTGTCTACTAAAAATACAAAAATTAACCAGGCATGGTGGCGGGCGCCTGTAGTCCCAGCTACTGAGATGGAGGTTGCAGTGAGCTGAGATGATGCCACTGCACTCCAGCCTTCTAACTGTCCAGCCTGGGTGACAGAGTGAGACTCTGTCTCAAAAAAAAAAAAAAAAGAAACATGCATAGTACGATGTAATAAATGCTTGTTGAAGCAAATTAATCTGCACTTAGTTGGATATAATAATTGAATTGAATATAGTTTTAGAGAAAAACATTTAAACAGATACAAACTTCTGTCCAAATTGACTTTGATATTTCAGTGAATATTTGGTTAATGTGGCTTGAAACTTGTAAGGCAGACAACAAAGAAAGTTAGAAGTATTAAAACATCACTAAGTAATTGTGAAAGTGAGTAACAGTACTTTTTTTGAGACGGAGTTTCGCTCTTGTTACCCAGGCTGGAGTGCAATGGCCCGATCTTGGCTCACCGCAACCTCCGCCTCCTGGGTTCAGGCAATTCTCCTGCCTCAGCCTCCTGAGTAGCTGGGATTACAAGCACGCGCCACCATGCCCAGCTAATTTTTTGTATTTTTAGTAGAGACGGGGTTTCACCATGTTGACCAGGATGGTCTCGATCTCTTGACCTCGTGATCCACCCGCCTCGGCCTCCCAAAGTGCTGGGATTACAGGCGTGAGCCACCGCGCCCGGCAAGTACTTTTTATTGTATGTTTACAGATGCCTAACCCTCTGCTTTTTCTTACCTCTATGCTTTTTAAAAATATATTACTTACAACAACCCTATGAGGTAAGTGTTAGGATATACACATTGCAAATGAGGAAATTAGGACCCATGAAAATCAAGTAACTTGGTGAAGGTATCATAGTTAGTAACTGCCTAGGCTGTGATCTGAACTCAGGTCTGTTTCACTCCAAAGTGTTTCTAAATCTCTGATCCCAACTCTGGGTGGCCATTATAACAAATCCAAACATACTTCAGACATTTGCAGGTAAAACCCTTGTCAGGAAATAATACTGTATTTTCCACCTCCAAAAAAAATTCCAGCAAACTTTTATTGAGAACGTTTAAGGAAATCTGAAATTTCCACACAGCACACTTAGACGAGGGTATACTTTACAAAAAATTTAAAGTATGTTAAGTTTATCATGCTGGTAATTCCATTGTTCAACGATGTAAAACAATCTTTACAAGAGAGGATGTACCTTATTTATAGAGGCAAGCTACAAGTCATAGAATCTCAAAGTTAAAAGACTTTTCAAATCTTTTAAGTTATTTAACTTAACCTTCATTTTATCGTAATAAACTGAAGCCCAGGAAGCTTAAGTAGCTTATTTATGTTTACACAACTAGAAAGAAGCAAGCTGTAATGTTACTTTGCTACTTATAACAGGATAAAAATACTTCCAATTCCCAATTAATTTATTTGACCAGACCACAGAAAGAAAGCTCTCAGTTTCCATGACAAACAGTTACTAAACAAGGATTGTAAATACCATATCAAAATTAACTTTTTATATTACCAACAGTAGTTATGTGAATTTTTAACTACTTTCTCATAGAGATGAACAAAAATTAATTGTAAGACTTAAAAGAAAGAATGTAAGACTCTTAGGACCACTGTAAAAAGTTCATGTGCGCCATAAAGATTAAACGAATGCACGGGCTGTGTTTTTAAAGTCAAGGTTTTCATTCTGAGAGAACTTACTGTATTTTATATCGATTCCCAGTCATTAGACATTTATTTTGGGCCATTTTTAGATTTTGTTTACTAAAATGAAGTGTGAAAATGAAGAAAAATAATAGTAATGCAAACCACCTAAGTTCTGCAAACACAGAACTTAGAAATATCAACCACGATATTTAAGAAGCCAATCAATCACAAATAAAGTATGACATTGGCCTATTAGATGCGTCATGATTACAAAATTTCCTTCGTGACCATCATCCACATTCATTATGTGTGCTAATGTTAAAGAGCACATGGTAAAATTAATAAAATTCCATCAGAAGTACCCAAATTATCATCCCAAAGAAAAACGGATCTACAGAACACAGTTTCAAACAAGGAAATCCAAAGTCATAAATCACTCTGATCACACAGCCGCTCAAAATAACTAGTCGAATCTCTGGGTGTAAGCCCCCGACAGAAAATGAACTCCTCGTAGAGTATTTAAAAAGCAACATACCTTCTTCAAGGTGGAGAATTCCCAGCGATCAAATTGTAATCCATATAGAAAAGGTATCATCAAAAATGCCACTGCTAACTTTTAAGTAACTCCAGATAAAGAAGTGTAATGACTTTCCATCCAGGAATGATTTGACCTTGTCTTGGTACTTCCATCTTGTTGGCTGATAGAAAGATGAAGTGAGGACAACTCAGAATGAAGAAGGTCAGTGCCAGGAAGTACTCTAGCAAATCATGATGTTTTCTAGATGCTAACAATAGTAATTACACCTATACAATTGAAATTAATTAAAGTTAGCTCCCAAGCCATTCTGCCTACTCACTGTCTAAAAGAAAGTAACTGTTGCATTAATATATTTCAGTCTCTGATATGAAAACTCAAAACTACTTAGTTCTAGTGCTTGAACCATTTCTAGGTACAAGTCTTCAATAGTAACTACTACTATACAGAATCAAAACTTGAAAAAGTTAAAAGACAATGTTTGGGCATTTCCTCACGTTATTAGCAGTGCTTGCGGTGTGATGTTTCATTTGTCTTGTCAAAAGTGAGTAAGTCAAAGGGTGTGAAGAAAGCCTCTAGCACTTCGGAATGTACCAGAGAACAAAGTGGAGAAGGTGATAAACTATCTCGGCATTAAAAATGATCTCACAAAACATACCTGAAGATAATAACCTTTAGGTTATTCTGAAAGTAGAATTCAAAAAGTCTGTTCTGCATATTCCCAATATTTAGGTATCACCTCAGATAGACCATATCCACTTTCAACAAACCCCCCACCTCAGTCTCCAAAATTCCTTTTCTTTTCTTTTTTTTGAGACGGATCCTGGCTCTGTCACCCAGGATGGAGTGCAATGGTGCCGTCCTGGCTCACTGCAACATCCGTCTCCTGGGTTCAAGCGATTCTCCTGCCTCAGCCTCCGAAGAGCTGGGATTATAGGTAGGTACCACTACGCCCGGCTAATTTTTGTATTTTAGTAGAGACGCACGGGGTTTCACCATGTTGGCCCAGGCTGGTCCCGAACTCAGGACCTCAAGCGATCCACCCCTCTCGGCCTCCCAAAGTGCTGGGATTACAGGCATGAGCCACTGCGCCCGGCCTCCAAAATGCTTTTTCTACAAACCAAATGACAGTATGGGATAAACAACTCCTTATCAAGTGGGTAAGCGCTGGAAGAGATTGTACCTAAAGTGGCAATGTTTGCTAGGTGTGGAGTGTTCCCCTCATTCCAGCATGACCCAACCTAGAAACACTCCGAAGTTAAGCTACTTAGGAAACAAAGTTAGGGCGTCTCCTGTAGCCTGTAAACACTGAGTGGATCGCGCTGCCTCTTCACCCGGCTGAAGCAGTAACAGCCATCCCTCTTTGGGGCGGGCGTGGCCGTTAGAAACAAAAGGTTAAAACACAAAAGGCGGGGCGGAAGGCTGGGTCAGAGGAGCTTCTGGGGCTCACGTTCCGCTTTCTATTGAAACACACTGAAATGGGGTTGGGGATGGGGGTGATGGAAAGTGAGAGGTGAGGCAGGATCCCAAGGATAGCCTGGGTTATTCCGGGTGGGTCGTGAAACTGCAAAGGCGGACTGGATGGCTCTAAGCAGTGGTCCAGGCCCCATCCCCTCCATCCCTGCATCTCTGACAGTCTGGAACCTGTGGCTTCCTCCACCCCATTTCAGCCCCAAAGAAAACTTTCCAAACCCTTATCTGCTTGTTGTAAACCCCTCCTTGACGGGCAACACGAGGGTCCAACCCCCTCCAACCCAAACCTTCCTTCCTTCCATTGTTGCTGCGTTTTTATATGGTGCGTGGTATCTACGGAGCGCTCTGCAGACAGCTAAGTTATACAAACGACCCCCACAACCATATTGCTTCCTTTTGCATGACCAAAGTCAGGGCTGGGGTGGGAGCGAGGCTGGACTTGCCCCCATCAATTTCTGCGTATTCATCCCTACAGGAGCGCAGCTGGAAGAAAGCGAGGCAATACCCCCGCACCCCACCCTGCGGATACCCTCCTCCCCATCCCCCCGGCCCCTCCTATGAAGAAGCACAAGAGATAGATGCCTGCTTGGCTTCTGCCTATGAAAAGTAAACAAATGAAACAATCTACGCGAGTTCTTTAAAGAACAAAAGAGAAGGGAACGGGGAAAGGAGGTAAAATTTACCAGCCAGCCAAACTTTGCGGCTGAGCGAGTCCTCTGCCCTCCGAAGGGCGGGGAGCCGGGTGAGTCGAGGGGAGAGAGGTAAACAAGACAACAGCCCTCACTCACCTTCTTCCCCACTTCGTCGTACTTTTAAGAGACCTTTCCCCCGCTGCAGTCTGCGAGGCGCTGGGACACTTTTTCCTGGCCTGACAGCAGAGAAAGTCGCGGCGGCAAAGTTGTGAGAGATACCCCGGCGCCCGGGGGAGAGGGGAGGAAAGAGAGTTCATCAGAATTCCCCCTTTTGTTCCAAGTCCCGGAGCAGACAAAGAGGCGGCGAGCGGCGGCAGGTTTCTCCCTCTCACCCCTTCTTCCTCTCTCCCTCCCCTCCCTCCCAGCCCCCTCCCTCTCCCCGCATCTCCCGCCCGGCTCGGGAACCTCCGAGGCGAGCTGGGGCTGCTCGGTCCCCAGTTCTTCGCAACTCTACCCGGACCGTCTCCACCCACTGCCCGGCTGGAAACTTTCCCCGGAGACGCCAGCCCTGGCCCCTCCGCAGCGCGCACAAGTCGCGGTGGTGGGCAGGGGATCTCCAAAATCACTGTTTCCCGGAGATGCACCTCTTTGTTTGCACTTTCCCTGCCAATCAATGTGAACCACCATTCACTTGGGCATCGAGTTTCCGTCCGTCTCTCCTCATCCCAAAAGACAAATTCCAAAGGGGTAGGGGTCAACCCCAGAGAAAGGCGCTTACACAATCAGAGGTGGGGCGCAGGCTAGGCTCCTCATCCTCCTTCCTCCTCTCGGACGCACCCTCCTCCATCCAACACAGAACCACTCACAGGGGCTTGAAGTGTTAGGAAACTCTCCTCTCCCGCCCTTCCCCACCTACCCCCACCCACGCTGTCCCTCTGGAGAGTCCTCCAAGGGGCAGGACAAAAGCCGGCTCGGGGGTTCGGCCAGGGCCTCCACCCACCCCTCGGGGCTACCTGTTGCTGCAGGCGCAGTGCAACTCGCAACTCGGTCCAGGGGCTCCGAGGAAGGATTCCCAGCTCCAGCATCGCGCCCACCTTCGCAGGCCTCGAACTCTCCCTCATCTCAAACTGCGATGGCAAGGCCATCTAGATCGCCGCGCTCCCTCTGACCCTAGAGCCAAGCGCGGCTCACTCGTCCTCTTCCCTACACCACACACTCCTGCTCACCCCCAGAGATATGGCTCGGGGTCTCAGGCCGCCTCCCCATCCTCTAACCCCTGCTGAGACACGTCCCAGACTAGCATCCCCTCTTTCCTTCCCCTCCCCCACGCCTTGTAGGGGACAAATCAGGTGTCTCGGACCAGGAACAGCTCCCGACCCTTACCCAGGTCCTTTCCAGCCATCCTCCACATCCAGAATGGGGACCCCATCCTCATGGTCCTCCACCCCTCCACCCTGATCCCAACTTCGGGCCACAGCATTGGCTCCCTGCGTGACTCAGAGCGTCACTCGTTTTCCTTCTAGATCCACTAGAATTGAAGAAAAAGAAAGCAGGGAGCTGGGGGAAATGGGAGAGTGTGGGGGCCCGCATTGGGAAGCAATTTCTAGGGCAAAAGAAAATTCCAACACGAACACCCACCCTTCAGTTGGTAATTAGCCCATTGCGCACCTTTGCCTCCACCCTCTTTCCTTTCTCCGCATCCCAGCTTGGGATCTTGGCGGGTTGGCGAAGTTTGGGGGTGGAGGGGTGGGAGGAAGCTTGGGGACTTGGGTGCCGCGTCCCAGGCTGGCCTACGGGGGGAGGGGCATGGAGGGGAGGGTCCCGGTGGGTCCGGAATGTCGCGGCGGTAGGTCCCGGTACCCTCCCGGCGACTCCGGGCCAAGGTCTCTCCTCCGGAGCAGAACAAAGACGCCGCGAGGAGCGCTTCTGTCCTCGCCTCCCCGCCCCGCGCTTCCCTCGCACGAGCCCACGCCGCTCTCGGAAACTTTACAACCAACTTCCCCTAGAGTTCGTGCGCGCCGCGAGGGGGCCCGAAGGAGAAACCGGGACCGTCGCATCCCGGGACCAGAGATGCCCTCTTCCCCGTCCCCTCCTGGACACGGAGCACCACCTCTGGCGCCGCCCGTCCCAGCCCCCGAGCCGGGCGACCCGCGGTGCCAGGGCGAGCGGAGCACGCGCTTCCCCGGCTCCTTCGGAGAAAGAGTTTCTCCAGTCTGGACGCGTGCAGTGCTGGGCACGGGTCGGAGGACAGAGATGGCCGAGAGATAAAGCAGCGGCTCCGGCCGCTAAGTGAGGCCGAGCGCGCAGGAAGAGCACGGGTGGGAGCCGCGCCCGTCGGGCCGGGTTCCTGCGCGTCCCGCTCCGCCCTCGGATCGCAGCGAGCCGCGGCGAGGCAGGACTCTGGAGCCGCCCGGGCGGGCCTCCTGGAGCCGCGGCCCCTCACCTGCCCCGAGCCCCGACACCTGCGCCGTCTCCTCGCGGAGCCCGGGGTCTCTCGGGCAGCCAGTCGCCTACTGGAAGCTCAGGATCCTCATCTTAGGCGAGGACTCCTGAACGCACCACAGCCAACCACAGAGAGAAAACAGCCCCCACCCACTCCTGTCTGGCACATTTTCCTCTTTGTTTAATTATGTTGACTTCCAGAATTCTCTTTTTAGAAGTCTACCCTCCCCCAGACAAAACCTTTCCTTCTGTTACCCTCAGGCATCTGTATGGAAAATAATGGAAAGTCAGTACTTCGAGACGAATCCATTCTGCTGCCTCTGGAAAATGCTCCGGGTTATACGGTGAATCAACCAAGATAGAGTTTTTGACTTCGAAATAACACCCAATACTCCATCAGATCTATTAACATGTTTACTGCTTGTTTTCTCTTTTTTTCAGAGAACGAAGAGTAGGGGTCATTTGCTAGGTGCAAAAGTCAACACGGCCTCACGAAGGCTTTCTTCCTGCCGCCTTTCTTTATGAAATATTGCTCTCAAAGCTGTTTGAAGTATCTCCCTTTCCCAACCTGCTTCTGAACAAAGTGATTTCTTCCTAGAATCTTGGTCGTCAACCCGTCAGAGTCCCCCATCTCTGTAATAAAGGCCGCCCCTCCTGGGAGGATGTACGAGCTGTTCACTACTGCCTTTTAAAAGCATGCCGTCTTTTCTCAGATGCCACCACAACTTTAATATCATTTTAAACAGTTAATTAACATCATCTAAGCTCAAAGATGGGTACTGCAGAGCAGATGGGCTTAGAAAGACACGTATCTCTTCTGCACTAACAGGGTTGGGGCTCTACCCTTACGTCATGGGCTTCCTACTGGCAGGCCAGTGGCATCTTACTCTGCTCTCTTTGCTTCCCCATTCAAGGGCTTCCTCTGGCTGCCAGACCCCACTTTGCCTTTGCGGAGGGGCAGGCCGGAGGAGCCAGGCAGTTAATTCCCCTCAGAGCAGCCTTCAACTAATCAAAGATAGGTGTTGAGGCCCTGTGCGGTGGCTCACACCTGTAATACCAACACTTTGGGAGGCCGAGGAGGGTGGATCATTTGAGGTCAGGAGTTTGAGACCAGCCTGGCCAACATGATGAAACCCTGCCTCTACTAAAAATACAAAAAATTAGCTGGGTGTGGTGGCAGGCGCCTGTAATCCCAGCTACACAGGAGGCTGAGGCAGGAGAATGGCTTGAACCTGGGAGGCAGAGGTTGCAGTGAGCCTAGGCAACAGAGTGACACTCCATCTCAAAAAAAAAAAAAAGCAGATGTTGGTATAAAAATACTCCAGCTTCCCCCCTGAGCTTAGGACTACAGTCAATCCTACTGGAGTCTCCCAAATGTTCTCGACTTTGAGTTTCAGTTCACACAGCAGTAACCTTCCCTTTAAGGAACACTGTTACCTGCCTGTCATCCTTCCTTCCTTCCTTTCTTCCTTCCCTCCCATTTTCCCTATTTATTTTCTTACTCTCTTCCCCACCAAAGCTTTCTAGGATCACACCCCAAATAGATTACAATAGTTGCCCTCAAATCTTACCCTTTGGGTCAATTTCTGGGGAAACACAACCTAAGAAACCTTTTAGATATGTTCTTTCTAAAGGGAGGACTCTGTTCTATTTGTAGAATGAAGTTACAAGATCCAATTTTCTGTAAAAAAAAAAAAATTATTTCAGTAATGAGAAATGTTTTGAGTTATCTAGTTCATTTTCTATGTAATAGTTTAAAATTAGGTATCTTATTGAAGGAAGATATTAAGTAGCAATAGGGAAAATCATGTCATACGTGAAAGTTTTGCACATCGAGCCATTATATAAACATTATATAAGGCTAATGCTGGCAATCAGCAATGCAACAGGAAAACGTTAGAATCACACTTTTGAAAAATTAGTTAGAGATAACGTAGCTTTTGATTGAATCCCCAATGAGAGCGAACGGGGATGATAAACATTTCCCATACTGTATGACCCGTGAGAGATCTCACAGTGTCTTTCTGCAAATTTCTTAGAGCATTAATTGGCCAACTACTCACTGCAACATTTTGTTTTTTTTTTTGAGACAGTCTCTTGGTCTGTTGCCCATGCTGAAGTGCAGTGGCATGATTTCGGCTCACTGCAACCTCCGCCTCCCGGGTTCAAACAATTCTCCTACCTCAGCCTTCTGAGTAGCTGGGATTACAGGTGTGCACCACCATGTCCAGCTAATTTTTGTATTTTAAGTAGAGACGGGGTTTCCCCATGTTGGCCAGGCTGCTGTCCAACTCCTGACCTCAGGTGATCCATCTGCCTTGGCTTCCCAAAGTGCTGGGAATCCAGGCATGAGCCACTGCACCCAGTTGCAACATTTTTTTGTATGTGTGAAATGATATATTAAATCTTCTCTTATGAAGGATTATGAATAGCCACCATTATGAATAAGTCATCAAGCATTCACATAATTATAGGCACCTAATGCTGTTCCTAGCTCTAGAATTTTCTTTCTTAGATTGCTTTCACCTCTGTTTTTCTGAAGTTATCACTGTAGTAGTAATTAGTGCTATTCAGCAAATTTTTCTTATTCTCTGTCTGGCTACATGGTAGAATGCAGTTCCCTGCCTTCCCTGACTCAGATGTGGCCACATGATTTGGTCTGGCCAGTGAAATGTGAGCAGAAACTGTGTGTGTCTCTCCAGGTGGGAGCTTTAAGATTTTGGTGTATGATTTTGACATGCTCCTTTTCCATCTGCTACAGCGCTGGATAGGGATGCTGATTTAGCCTGGGTACCAAACAGTACGCACCATTTTGTTCACACTAAATGACCAGCCCTCGGTGGTCATTTAGTGTGAACAAAAAACCCCGAAATTTTCAGACAGGCTCAGTAGCTCATGCCTGAAATCCCAGCACTTTGGGAGGCCGAGGTGGGAGAATCA